TTAGTTTCAATTTCATGTCTTTCTGCTCTGATGTTTGTTTTTTTTCCTTCTAATTTTGGGTTTGGTTTATTTTTTTTTCTTTTCTAGTTCCTTGAGGTGCATTATTAGGTTGTTTATCTGGAGTCCTCTTAATCTTTCTCTTCAACATTCTTTTCAACTTTCCCTTATGGTACTTTTTGACTATTGGTCTTATGCTGGTATTTAGCCTGAGATGGTGGCTGTAGTTATCAGAAAGAAGGGTGTCTTATATTTGGACTTTCTAGGGAACTATGGAGAACCACTTAATTTATGAGTTTGTCTTTGGCTGTCTCCATAAATTCAGTAGCAGCTGGTGATAGTGCTGATTTAACCACCTAAGTTAGGTTTGCAGTTTGGCCTTGGCTTCAGGAAGCATACTGAAAGAATTGCTGCACATAGACAAACAGGTGTCTCTTCCACTGTACTACCTTGTGACTTTGGAATGTGGTGGCAGTAACAAATGGTAACCTTGGGAACCCCACCTAGACTAAGTCCAAATTCAGGTCCATTCTGGATGGAATGGAGCAAGATTGATTTTGAGGGCTAGATCCTTTAGTAAGATCTTTGTAGTGTTCTTTAGTTAAAGCATGCTTTTGTCAAGACAGAAGTTAATATACCTTGAGAAAATCAATACCCTAAGTACATATATTTTACCAGCCTTCTGGAACCTGAAGCAGCCTAACAGTATATTCAGAAAGGGTCTTTGATAGTTTAAAAAAAAAAAAAAAAGAGGGGAAAAAAAAGCATTACCCGAGCCCGTGGGTTCGAGACCAGCCTGAGCAACATGATGAGACCTCATCTCGACAATAAGTCAAAAAATTAGCCAGCATGGTGGTGCATGCCTGTAGTTCCAGCTACTTGGAAGACTGAGGTGAAAGGATCACCTGAGCCCAGCAGGTCGACACTGCAATGGCCATGAGTAGCATGCCTCTGCACTCCAGCCTGGGTAACAGAGTAAGACTCCCACTCAAAAAAGCAAAAAAAAAAAAAAAAAAAAATCAGGGTGTTCATCAAAGTAAATATTCAAAGTGTAGAAATCCAGGATTTCCAGATAAGGGAAGCTATTGACAGAGATAATCATTTAAGAGAAGCCTGAGGAAAGGGATCTAGGAGACAGCTTCAGGGCTTCCAGAGGCTGCATGTGTTGTGCTCCCTGGACCTCTGAGGCCCTGAATTTTTACCACCCCTAGTTTAACCACTTTTGGAAAGTCTGAGATTGAATTTGTAACTATGTGGCTGAAATGGATTAGAGTCCTGGGAAGAAATGAAAATGTAGGTTCTCATGGCTGACTCATTTTTGATTTGAGAACTATTTCCTTTGGTGTTTTTCCTCTTTCCCCCAAGTCTTTCACTGGAGAAAAAAAATGCCTTTGTGTTTTGCTTTTATTTGTCTTTATTCAACACCTGGGTTTTATTATAACGCATAAACCTCTTAGGAGTACATCTTCCTCATTGCTTTGTAACCTAGATCCTGAGAGATGCCAAGCCATGTGGGAAATGCTGATAAGCAAATAAAGCCCTACTGTTCTTGCAATCTGCTGTACCAAGTGTTCGCTTCTCCCAAATCCTCTGAGGTTTGCAGGGGGCAGGAGGCAGTAGAGGGATATAGGGCTTTTTTTTCTCTCTTTCGTTCTTGTATATTTTATACAGTTTTACTTGTGCTGGGTTGCTTTTTTGGTGGTAGAGAAGTACCTCTTGGATGAACTGTCTCATTTACTAAACAATACTTGCCCCCCCACTTTTTTACCTGTTATTTTAAATGGTACCCTTCTAGAACCTTTGTACATGGCTTGGGGAAATATAAATTAGTACAGTCATTATGAAAGACTGTACGGAGATTCTTCAGAAAATTGAAAACATGATCCAGCAATCTCTCTTCTAGATACATGTCCAAAGGAATTGAAATCAGTATGTCAGAAGGATATCTACATTCCCATGCTCATTTCAGTGTTATTCACAATAGCCAAGATGTGAAATCAACCTAGGTTTCCATTAATGGATGAATGGACAAAGAAAATGTGCAACATATATACAATGGAATACTAATCAGCCTTAAAAAAAAAAAAATCTGTCATTTGGGACAACATGGATGAATCTAAAAGTCATTATGCTAAATGAAATAAGCGAGGTACAGAAAGACAAATATCTGATTCCATATTATATGTGGAACCTTTTAAAAAGCTAACTTCATAGAAGTAGAAAGTAGAATGATGGCCACCAGAGGTTGGGGTCCAAGGGAGTGAGGGACTTGGGAATGGTTATCAAAGGGTATAAAGTTTCAGCCAGACATGAGGAATAAGTTTTGAAATCTATAGCACAGCAGAGTGACTGTGGTCAATAATAATAATAATGGTTTATATGTTTCAGGATAACTAAAAGATTTATCACCACAAAAAAATGTTATGGAACTGAGGTGATAGGTATGTTAATTCACTTGATTTAATCATTCCACTTTGTATACATGTATCAAAACATCACATTGTACTCCATAAATATAAAATAATTATGATTCATCAATTAAAATTGATATTAATTTTTTAAAAAATAGTTAAGTGGTAACTTTCTCTTCAAACCCCTGTGGGCAGTGATAATAGGTAAGTTAGTCACCTTTGGTTTATTAACCTGAAGTTTTTAGGTCTAAGGTAATTTTGTCCTGTATTTTGCCTCTATATATTTATGAATTCAAGGATTTGGGGGGTTCCTATTTTAGAGGAAAAAAATTATTCAATGCATGTCTTTCCCACCTGACTCTAGACTTCACATGCTTACATTTTCTAATGTACTACTTTTATTGTAAAATCACAAGCCACAGATGAGTTAACCTCTAATCAAGGGTCCAAGATAAGGCACGTCACAGAGGTCAACTTTCTAGGCATACAGTAAAAAGAGGGCTGGAGGGGCAAATGGGTTCTAATGAACACAATCTCTTATTAGAACTATCTATTAAAATTTTTAAAAACAATGTATATCGAGTCACTATAATTGAGTTCCCAAACACATCTCTCTGTACTCATTGCCTTCTTTGTACAAAGTGGTACCTGAATGTCAGAAAGGAGTGAATGTAGATGGCAGAGAGATTTTATTTTTTTATTTTTTTTTGAGTCAGAGTCTTGCCCTGTCACCCAGGCTGGAGTGCAGTGGCACAATCATGGCTACTGCAGCCTTGAGCAGACAATCCTTCCACCTTAGCCTTCCAAGTAGCTGGGACTGCAGGCGCATGCCACAGCTAATTTTTCTTTTTTAATTGTGGAGACAAGGTCTCACCATGTTGTTCAGGCTAGTCTTGAACTCCTGGGCTCAGGCAATCCTCTTGCCTTGGCCTCCCAAAATGCTGATATTACAGGTGTGAGCCACTGCACCCAGCCAGAGAGATTTATTTTAAATGAAGACAAAAACTAACTAGAACTCTGTGGAGAACATCTTCATAATGGTTAAGACTACATGTTCTGGCTGGGTTCGGTGGCTCAACCTGTAATCCCAGCGCTTTGGGAGGCCAAGGAGAGTGGATTGCCTGAGCCCACAGGTTCAGGACCCACCCGGGCAACTTGGCGAGACCTCGTCTCTACAATAAGTAAAAAATTAGCTGGGCATGGTAGCGAGCGCCAGTAGTTCAGCTACTTAGATGGCTAAGGTGGAAGGATCGCCGGAGTCCAGTAGGTCTAGGCTGTGGTGGCCCGGAGCATGCCACTGCACTCCAGTCTGGACAATGGAGTGAGATTCCAACTCAAAAAAAAACACAACTACATGTTCTATCAGCCAAATGAGTCTATGGAGACAGCTCAGAAGAGTTACTATTGATTGGTAGAAGATATAACAGACTTTTCTGGGGTGCTGGAAATGTTTTATATCAATATGAGTCATGGTTACGTGACTATATATCCACCTATGTAAAAATTCATCAAGTTGTACACATAAGATGTCTCCAAGTTACTTTAAGTATGTTATACCTTAATTTAAACAGAAGTGTTTTTTTTCAATTGCAAAAAAAACCAAATTAGTTTCTGGAGACCTGAGTTCCTACCTTGTCTCTGTCACTTACTGTGTGGCCTTAAGTAAGTTATCTCATTTCTCTGTTCCTCAAATTTCTTTCATGCAATATAGGAATAATAATATACTTACCTCAAAAGGTTATTGTGAGAAAAAATTTATGAAAGCTACTTATTTTTGAAATATAAATAATTTATAAAAATTATTAAATAGAATTAAAAATTTAATAAAAAGTACCTATGCAGAATTTTTTTTAAGTTGTGAGGATTACCTTAGTAAGCCACTTGGCATGGCAACTAGCACATGGTATTAACTCAGTAAATGTTAGCAGTTTTATTAAAATAAATATATTTTTTCCCCTAAAGTAATTCCATTCTGCTCAATTTTAGCTAGGTGTCTTTTTTTCCCTTCTTCTTTTTCTACATTTACTAAAATTTCCCATCCTGCAAGTTCATCCTTTCATATAAGAAGATACCAAAAGCCGGGCCCAGTGACTCAAGCCTGTAATTCCAGCACTTTGGGAAACTGAGGCAAGTGGATTCCCTGAGCCCACGGGTTCGAGACCAGCCTGGGCAACTTGGTGAGACTTCATCTCTACAATAAAATAAAAAAATTAGCCGGGCATGGTTGCGTGCACTATAGTTTCAGCTACTTGGGAGACTGAAGCAGAAGGATCACTGGAACACAGCAGATCGACGCTGGGGTGGCTGTGAGCATGCCACTGCACTCCAGCTTGGGCGACAGAGTGAATCTCCAACTCATAAAAAAGATACAAAGTTGAGTTAGACACATGCCTAAGCTTTAGTTTACAAGCATATTCTAATAAGATGAAAACACAGAGGAAGTTCACGTGTTCTGTGTACAACTTGGTAGTGTTTTCTTCACCAAGCAATACTGCAAGGAGACATAGGCCCTCTCACTTGTAAGAAACCTCGAAATGATCTTATTAAGGATACTCATCAGATTGCATCATTTTGTTTCATGAATTATAACAGGCCTTGGTTAACTGGGACCCAGTGGATCAAACAGTGCTTGCCAATGAGCAAGTGGATGAACATGGCTGTTCGTGGCGTTCTGGAGCAAAAGTAGAACAGAAGTACCTCAGACAGTGGTTTATTAAGACAACTGCTTACGCAAAGGTGAGTGTCAGCCTGGAGGCTCCCTAGTAATGCCTTATGTGTTGGCAGCAACCTCAGGGGTTTCTGGGTATTAGAGAGCCTCACTGTTAGATTGAGCTCTAGGAAGATCTCTCAGAACAATGAGCGTACAGACAGGAAGCAGGTGGGCCTCATCATCACTCACTTATCAGGTGACAAGTTTGTGTCTCCACTTGTAAATCAGGTGTGGCAACTGAGGTCACTGTAGGCCATTGCTGACCTTTCAACTCACTGCCACAGAGGTCAAAGAACATCCATAATTATATCAGCAATAAAACTTAAAAAAGAGAGAAAAATGTCTTCATCTGTTCAGTTCTGATAAGACCTCCAAAAAAATAGAATGAAATTTTAGAGGGTCCAGAGAAGATTATCTAAAAGGCACGAAGAGATGGTGGCCTCTATGAGAAAAGGCCAGAGTGAAAATAAACTAAGCCAGGAACCAAAGCTCTGGGCCTTAGTTTCTTCATCGGTGAGCAGGTTGAATCAACTGGTCTTTAAAATGCCTTCTAGCTCTTTCCATGTTCAAGGATTCAAAGCAAAGCCAGTAGTTTAAAGCAAGGACTTGCTTATTAAATCACCAGTAGCCTGGGCAAAATCATCAGTTCTTTGTGTAAGAGAACTACACAAGGTCTCCTTTGAACCTACCAAGTTTTATGATCCTGGAGTAGAAGGGTCACCCCTGAAACTCCAGAGAGAAATGACTAGGGCAATTTGGGGATGCTTCACTTGGCAACCTAATGATCTCTGTAGTCTTATGTATGGTGGCTCTTCCCCTCAGCAGTCACTGTAAGAAGGATAGTTGTACCTTTCCATAGCAGCCTACAGGTCACTCTGTGAGAAATAGGGTACTGACTGAAATGGACTTTGGGCCAGATCCAATACTGTAGTTCTTACATGCAAAGAAAGCACAAGGTTCTCAATAACCTGTGATCACTACAAAATTTTGCTGAATTAGAACTACCATACACCAACTCACAATGCCAGTGCCATACAGAAATATGACCTCCAGTTTTCTCACTCAAAGACATGTCTTAAATAAGGCTGTGTTCTCATTATAATTTATTCAGAATGCAATAGAGAGTAGCATATGGATTTGGAGAAGTGCTCATTAGAACTTGTTAACACAGTACCTTGCTCCTTTTAAGCATAGTAATACTGGAGACTGGATGTGAAGAGCAAAACTAAGGATATTGCTTTCTGTATCATTCCCAGGCAAGTGGGAGCCCCAGTCTGCTGACAGTTGGGGTCCACTACATTACTGGGACGGATGCCAGGTCACCTGTTAGACCTGTCAGATGATTCTATTATAGGCATTGTTGGAAAGGCCACCTAATTAGCTCTTTTGGTTTGACTTCTGCCTCTAGCTGGAAATGTAATAACCTAAGTGAGGAGCATTATTCTTTAAATTGTCAGCTGTGTATTTTCAACTGTTCAGTGGAAATGGTTAGTTACCATGGTGACTCTCCTGGTTCTTGCTGAACTCCTGTGCAGGTTTATTGAAAAAGCTGTCTTTGAGGTCAGCACTTGGTTTGCTCTGAAAATCAGAAGAAGAGAGAGAACAAGACTCCAGGAATCCTACCAAAGAACAATTGCTGTGGGACTGAGAGTAGAACAGAGACACTAGGGGGCAGTACAGTATTGGGCTACCTTGGAGTTATGGTTCAGTCAAGGGTATGCAGTTGAGACCCCCCCAAAAGGCCATGCATTAGAAGTAAGGGTGATACCCTAGGACTAAGGACAAAATCCAAATAGACTCACTTTAATAGAAAATGAAAGCAAACCTGAGAGGTTCAAAAGAAACTTCCAGGACAAAACTCATCATTTTTAAAGAGGGACAGCATAATTCAGACTTTCTACAAGGTTTTGTCTGCAATGCCTAACATATAATTAAAAGTTATAAGACATGCAAAGAAACAGGAAATTATAACCTATTGTCAAGGAAAAAAAAAGCATTCCAATAGAAATAGACCCTGAGATGACCTAGATGTTAGAATTAATAGGTAAAGCCAAAGGCATGTATTATATAAATGGTCTGGGACTTAAAGGAAAAGATAGTCATAATGAATGCACAGATGGGAAATCCCAAGAAAGTAGATTTATTTTTAATGAACCAACTGGAAATCTACAACAGAGAAGTACAATATCTGAAGTGAAAAATTCTCTGTTTGGGCTACAGAGGAATAAGAGTTAAGTAGACCATCAAGCTGGAAGGAAGTTCCCCCATACATATACATCCATGTAGGAAACAGCATTTGTGGGGGCCCTAAAACAGAAATTTGTATGATAGGTTTGAGAAACTGAAAGAACGCTATAGTTTAAACTAAAGGAGTCAAGCAGAGCTACTCAGGACAGGGCTGAGAGGTGTTTAGAGACTAGATCAAGCAAGGCCTTTTAGGTATTAAGGAATTCGAACTTTACTATGGGAACCACAGGAAACCACTAAAGGATTCTAAGGAAGGGAATAATGTCAGATTTGTGTTTTTATAAGATAACTGTGAAGGGGCAAGTTTAGATACAGACAGACCAGTTTCTAACTATTGCAATGGTCCAAGCACACAAAACGTAGACTTAGGTGGAAGCAGTAGAGAAAGGTGATAGATTAGAAAAATAATCAGGCAGCAAAATCTGTAGAGCTTGGTAATATATTGAAAGAGAATATGAGGGGATGGTGGCATCAAGGAAGACCCTGGCTTGAACAGTAAGTGAATGGCTAAACTGCTTACTGCGATAGTGAGTCCTGGAAGAGACGCAGACCCTTTTGAGTTTGAGTTGGCCATCATACGTTTGAGGCTGAGAGACATAAAAATAATAGGTCCTGCTGTACAGATAAGGATAAGATATTGAATCAGTTAGTGATGCTTTCAGCTGCAAGGCTTAAATAAAAGTTAAGTTACTTTTCCCACACAAGAGGTTGCTGGGACTGAACTGGGATAGGGCTCTGAGTTGGTATCTTGGAGGTTTTCTTGGCCTTTCCTTCCTGCCTGTCACCCTATGGTTGCAAGAGGGCTGTTACAGCTCCAGACATCACATCCCTATTCAAGACTGAAAGAAGCAAAAGGGACAGTGCCAGTGACTGTTCTTTTTATCTGGAAAGCAAGAACTTTCCCAGAAACCCCCACTAATGTCTTATTAACCCCAGCTGTGTCATGTGACCACCCCCAGCTTCAAGAAAGACTAGGAAAGCAGGCCTGGGATTCTTGCCTTCTGTCATTGAGGTGGATGGAGGAAGAGAATGAGCAATGGGTGCTGGGATAGGCAGCGAGCTGTGCCTGCCACAGTTATCTTTAGAGCTCTGCATTTGCATCTTGTTTTGCAGCTCCCAAGGCTGCCTCTGCGATGTGTGGCTGCGGTCTGCTTGGGAGCGTGGCTGTGAAGGAGCCTTTCTTTCATTCACTTGACTTCCAAATGTTAAAGACAATGCCTGATGTGAAAATTACAGGGAACCCTGCAATATCAAGATGCTTTATTAAGGCTGTTCTGTGATATATTTGATTTTTCTCCTCTCACCCCCACCCAGTCTTCCTAGGATTGTTTGCTTTGTGAGACGTTAAAAGTGATTTTATCCACTCATTCTGTGAAAAAGAAAACTTGCAGTAGGAGTATCTGGAGAACATGAATTAGTCTTGGCAGAGATGTGTGGGTGGTGTCTGGTGGGCAGCACTGCTGAGGTGAGAGTGAGGGGAGGAGGATGGGTTGGAGCCTTATATACAGCAAGCAAAAGGGATTCAGAGTGTGACAGAATGCCTCAGTTCCTGACAGCAGATGACAATTGGAAGGAGAGGCAAACAGAGAAAGCTTCCTATTTAAACTTTTCTAATCAATCTGTGGTGTCCATTTCTCCTTCTGCCTCTTGTGACCTCAACAGGCTTCAATGAGGCCCCAGCCCCTCCATACACAAGTGCCTCCTTGGTGTTAAGATGGACATAGCCATGCCCTCATGGTGCACCTTACTCAGCCCCCACACCAAATTGGTGGTAATGCTTTCCCAGTTTTCAGGAGTTTCTTGGCAACTGCTGTAATGTGAGCAAAGTCTCTGTTCACCTTCCAGTCCCTACCTGACTACTCCTGATCAGGGCTCAGGCCTTTATTTCTGCCATCTTACTTAACCCTCCTGTTATCCCCATTTCACTGATGAGGAAACTCAGGCTTATACCAGCCATAAGTAACCACACTGGGATTCAAATCTCAGTGACTGAGCTCTTACCCAGCAGTCTCTGTTGCTGCTCTGGTGGTCTGAATGTATTTTTTCCTCAGATGTTACTGATTGCCTGGCCAGACCCTGGGCTAGGTGCTAAGAATACAGACAAAAGAAGCTAAGATCCCTGTACTTAAGGAACTTAGCGGCTAGTGCCGGAGACAGTGCTGGACATAAACCATCAACAACCCTGGAGGTTCCCATCACACTGCAGAAGAGTGCAGGGGAAGAGAAGGAGGAATCCCAAGTCTGCCCAGCGGTCCAATGAGGTATCACTGATGAGGTGATGAAAGAGGGAAGTGCAGGCTGTCTGCGAGGAGCATCTTGTTGCCTTCCAGATGTGTGGGAAACTGTATCCTTCCCCAAATATTTCTAAGTAAAGCTTCTGCTGGGGAGAAGCAAGCAGGCAACAGTAGCCATCGTGAAGTCAGTGAGGAAGTGATAAACCCCCACTTGCTGCCCCCTTGTGCTTCTCCTTTCCTGATTTCACCTGTGAGCTTGAGGGTAAAGCCAGTTACCTTTGTGAGAACGCACTGCCCTTGTTTTAGCCTGCAGATCATGGAAGCATGGGGCAGGAGGGGAGAGTAGGTGAAGGCAGATGAGAGAAAGGAAGTTTGTGCCAGGAGCTCTTTGTGAAGATGGAGGAGGACACCGGAGCAGAGAGTCAGCCTCGGCGGAGCAATGATGCGAGGGCCTGACCTCCAAGAACCATCTGTACTGTGGAATGGAGACACTCGGTAACCTTGCTCAGATTCTGAAGACTGGGTTGCTTGTGAAGGCATTCAGT